TTCCTTCCTTCCTTCCTTCCTTCCTTCCTTCCTTCCTTCCTATGTTAAAAGCATCACATCAGAGAAAGATCCATCAGACCGATTTTTTTTCCTTGTGTCTAATAAATGTGTTTTTATAAATTTTTTAGCGTATAGTGCAGCAAAGCATTTAGATTAGGTGAAATTCATACATTGTTGCTCTCCGCATTTGCTGATTGTTTGATATTTTTATTAATAAATATTCTTTGTTTGAATTTAGACTTGTGTGACATTTGTTGTTACTGTATTTTATTTATCATGAAAATGGACGAAGAAAAGAAGAATCGGCCCAAAAATATCAGGACTTACTTAGAGTAATGTCAAAATAATCAGTAGCTGCATTGGCCTAAAAAATGAAAAAAATCAATATCAGTCGATCTCTTCTTCATATTAAGTGAGAAATCTGTTGCAGGAAAACAAAAGGCTTCTTTTCTAATGCTGTTTTGTAGCAGAACTTATCAAGTCAGTTCACTGCCTTACAATACTTTTATTTGATGCATTTTATCTTTTTTTCCCTTTGGACTCAGAAATTCTAAGTTAGGTCTGCAGCACATTAGAGACCTTTTAACAGACGGCTATGAAAACCCTGGAAATGTTAGAGATTCTGCAAACACGTTATTTTCCTAGAACAATTTACTCCTCTGATTTATTGGCGTACTTTGAACAGCAAACAGCACCTTGTTTGCTTTACTCCAAGTTTGCAGAATCACATAACTGCTTCCCGACTCAATTGGATTTCTCCTTTTTGAAAATGCATTGTAAATATAAAACACTGACATCTTATTAAATCCCCTACTGAAAATAACAGTCATGCAAAAGAGGTGACTTTGGAAACTTCTAACATTTTTAGAGAAGACCTGGGTGGGTGTCAAGCATCTTATGCACTAAATACATATTCTTCAGACATTAGATCCCCATAGGAATTATTCTACTTAAGGAATAAGACTGTCAGCAATAACTATGACAAAGTATATCACAACAATGACTGTATATATATCACAATTATGACCTTTAATCCCATAATCAATACTTAAAAATTCCCTAATCATGACTTTATATCTCATAATTATATCTGTACTGTTTGTCATGATTGACTTTGGTTTAGAAATTATGACTTTTAATCATAATTATATCCTTATATGACTTCCTAAAGGCCGCCTGGTGGTGCAGGAAAGTTTCAGGTTTGATTCCCGGCCCGAGGTCCTTCTGCATGGAGTTTGCACGTTCTCCCCGTGCATGGGTGGCTTCTCTCCGGGTACTCCGGCTTCCTCCCACAGTCCAAAAACATGACTCCAAGGTTCATTGGCTTCTCTATTTTGTCCCTAGGTGTGAGTGCACATGGGTGTGTGACTCTGTGTTACCCTGTAAC